TGTTTTCTAAATTTTGCATTTCATCAGTATAGTAAATCGCAGACAGCATATGGATCAGAACATAAGGAGAAAACAAATGTAAGTATGACCTTGGAATCCGCAATTTATGGTGACTTCCATATTTTGCATGGAGGCAAACAGAACGATCAGCACAAAGAAATGCTATTTTCGAGTAGTCATCACCCAAGACCTACAAAAGATATCAAACATGAAATATACATCAGTGTAGATTTCCCACACTAATTAGAGAAGAAATACACAACAGAACTTGTTTCCATGTTTCTGGCTTCTAAAAAGGAAAAACCAAAACAGGGAACAAGCATAAACATTTACTATCGAAGCGCAAAAAATCAGAAAAAACCCCAAAAGAGCATAAGCATTGTTCATAAAAAGAAGTACTACAAATAAAAAACAATTTTGTTATTTTGAGTGTAGTAGCAAGTGTGCAGACTTCAAAGAGAGAGCGGGAAAGCAGTCAGTACTTGAAAGTTAACAATCTCTGACACCAAATGCCTTTCAAACTTCAACGACAGCTCCCGCAGCTCATACACTTTAACTTGTGGTGGGTAAATACCTGAAAAATTAATATTGTCGTCAACTGATACAAAATATTGAAAATACCGGGCAGCTGAAGGAATCTACTCATCTAATACATGTTCACAAGGGGTCGTTTAGTTTGTTATAGATTTGTATGCCAGCAGAAAACATAGGGAAAAAATTGGTGAAAGAACCAAAATTATTGAATAAGACAGGCCTAAATGGGGAGACATTAACAGTGATGAACTGGTGATTTATATAGTTGACCCTATCTTGAGGTAGAGGCATAGCTGTTGCTGTTGTACTCATCTAATACATGTCTCAGATTAATAGAGGGGCAAACAATTGCACAACAGTAATTGTTTACTTCCCCATGTGTGATATTTTATATAAGAAAGCTATTTGTTCAGGTTAAACATGAATAAGTCTCAACCAACACAGGAAATAAGATTAATTTCAACGCTTCAACAACCAATAAAATGAACCAACATATTTATAATACACCTGTTCTATATGTAAAAACAATAGTCAGTTTACATAGAAATAACTGCATTTATACAACACAGAAGGATAAATATGCATGAATATCACATTCAATAGCAGCAGTGCATAGTGAAGCCTTCCTATAACTCAGAAGTAGTTACTTCTCAATAACCCAGGAGAGATCATTCAACAAAAGCATAATATTTCAAGGAAACAAAAGTTGTCCAGTATATCAATTGATGATACAAAAGAAATAAGTATTCTCAAACTGCAGAAAATCACCTGATGCAATGAGATACTCCCCATCAGGAGTCACTTTAATTCTTGTTGTTGCAGTTTCAAATCTCAAATCTTGAATCAGATCCACTCTTTGCATATAACCTGCCAAAAGAGAGAGAAAATATATTTCATAATACAACCATAATATCCTACAATACCAAATATGTATAAATGGCAACATGGATCTAGGATTCATATAGCTGGCCCGAACTACACAAGCTATGCAATTGGATTTTACCCATCCTGTCCATTCATATAGAGGAACTCCTTAGAGATGTTCAGCAACAAACAAATTGTTACACATTGTATCGGCGTGCTGTGTGATAAGAATGTGTCACCAAATCTTCAAAGGTGAACATTATAAAGTGGTTGTCAGACCACCAACTCTGTTATAACTTATATGGAGCGGAGTATTGGCCAGTCAAGAACCCGCACGTCCAGAAGTTGCAAGTAGCGGAAATGAGAATTTTGAAATGGATGTGTGGGCTTACTGAGAGATAAGATTAGGAACGAAGATATTCAGGACCATGTGGGAGTGGCCTCTGTGGTGGACAAGATGAGAGAGGTGAGGTTGAGATGATTCAGGTTGTGAAGAGGAGATTCTCAGATTCCCAAGTGAGGAGGTGTAAGAGATCTGATATAATTGGCATAAGGAGAGGTAGAGGTAGCCGAAAAGGTATTAGGAGAGGTGATTACATAGGACGGGGCACAATTGTAGCTTACCGAGGACATGACCCTAGATAGAAGGTTATGGAGGTTGAGTATTAGGGTAGAAGGTTAGTAGATAGTCAAGTGTTGTCTAATTCACGTCAGCAGTATTGTTTATTACTCCCCTACTATCTTATTCTTTGATTTTGTTATTTCTATGTTTGTTTTTCTTCTTCACGGCTGTATTTCCTTTCTATACTTGATCTTGATATGCTTTCCTTGAGCCGAGAGTCTATCGGAAACAACCTCTCTTCACAAGGTTGGGGGTAAGGTTGTATCTATAGTGTATAGTGTATTTTTTACTACAAAAAATGGAATATATACATTTTTGAACATATTGATATAACATGATTTTACCAAATAATAACATCAAACTAAATCTACATTAGCATATCGTTCAAAAAAAAAAACAAGGAACCAAAAAGGTGAAGAATCAATCATCACAGAAGACCATATGATATAAAGACAAGGTATCCAAAAACACATTCATATAAATTACTGCCCAATTGAAAAACAGTCTTTGGTACAATTCCAATTTTTTTGCTTCAAAGATTGAAACTTTCTTTTCCAGACATAACAATGCTGCTATAATTCACCAAATGTTTTTCCAAAAGAATGAAAATAAGCGAAAGCAGAAGGCTAATGCATACCTGGATCTTTACGAAGAGCTCTGAGCTTCTTGGGAGCAAGCCATGTAGCCACAGAACGGTGTTGGCCAGCAACAGTATACATCTTCACTCCATTTATGGCAGTGGACTTCAAGTTTCCCCCTTGGTATGCCATTGTAATTCAATTGGCAGACAGAGTAATGCCCTTTTTCTAGATATAATGAATCCATGTCAGAGACAGTGATGAGATACTCAAGAGTCATCAAAGACATTTAAATTTTTCACAAAAATGATATTTACTCACTAAAAACAAGGATTGCTATCTAAACATCCAGCTATTACAACACGAATCAAAATAAGAACATATATTAGCTTGTTAGGCAGTTGCTAAGCTGGGATTCTAAACAAGTGAATAAATATATAAACGAGTGCTAATTCCACTATTTTCACCTAATAAATATCAATTTAGCTTCAAACAGCCTCCTTTTACGTCTTTTTTATTAAAAATTTTGAAAAGACACCGTTTTCAAACTTCTAACTAATTCTTTTGAGAATGAAAAAAAAGTAGTCGTTCATTGAAATATGAATTGAAAAAGTTAAGGAGAATACTAATGTTACAGTAGAAATCTAGGCTACCAAAAACTTACGAAGTGTCGCCGGACGCCGGTCGGTGGTGACAGCCGGCAGCGGCACGGTGAAATTGTTTGTTAGAAGCGGCTGGTTCCAATTTGGACAGGGTTTTGGGAAAGAAAGGAAGAAGAGTGGGGAGGGTTTTAGGAGAAAATAAATTAGTAGGAAGAATGACAAAAATATCCTTTATGTTTGGGTAGGTCTAAATTAGTCCTTTAAATTAAATATACTTTCAGCAATTTTGGTACTTTTATTTTTATTTATTCAATCAAACAAAGCAGTTTTAGTCGATTAAATATTGGGAAATTAACAATTTCGGTCCTTGTATTATTATATAATTTTAGTTTTAGTTCTCGTATTATTTAAGGATGCATATTTAGGGTGTGTTTGGTATGAAGGAAAATATTTTCCATGGAAAATAAGTAGATTTTTGACTTATTTTCTCATGTTTGGTTGGTGAGTAGAAAATATTTTGCGGAAAAGATTTTTAGTGTTTGATTTATGAATGAAAAATGTTTTTGAGAAATATCTTTTATTTTTACTAGAGTAGAAAATATTTTTTGAAATTGAAAATATATTTAAAAAACAAACTTAAATTTTTTTTGGGGGG